TTCTGCCTTGTTTCCATGTTGCACCCCCTTTTTTGTTTGCTTTTCGCCCCGGTTCATGTTCTTTAGCGCCAACATACCTAGAAGGCGAGATATGGCTCACGTCATTGGGTGAAGACGGCGTCGGCGACATCGAGTTAGGGTTATGATTGGAGTTTTATATTTTTTCTGTTTTCACAGCTTGTTTTAGCACGCTCTTTTAAATACTAGTAACGTTGCTTCTTGACGTCTTGCGTGCCAAATTTCCTAACGTGGGTGGTGGTTTCGATGTGTAACGGTCCTCTGTTAACCAAGGACGATGTAGTTTGCGCAATTTTTCAAAGTAGCCGTCCGAGTAGAGGTAACTAACACAGTTCATCTGTTGAGGCACTCAAAATTGCTCTGCTGGCGCAATAATCGAAACACCATTGCTACTAGCACGGCGGTTGGTGCGTTTGACTATTCGGCCAGGGAGCCAAGAGAAATCCGGCAATAGTAAACTTGATCGAATATTGATATCCAGCTTATAAATATGTCTTTTGAGCTCTCTCTTTGTGGTCCCGACAGTTACGTACGGAGTACAGACGCGTAAATTGCGTTCTTTGCTCTCTTCCTTTGTCACACTTGTAGGGTACTCAAGTCCTAGCTGCAACAAATTATAACTAGATGCCAGAATAGAATGCCGCCTGACAAGTAAGTGTTGTGTAGTCTAAGTAGACACTTCCTGTTTGCGGGCACAGTGCACGCCAGGGTTGCTCGACAATCGCGTAGCGACAACCAGGTTCGCGTAGAATTTAATAGCCTGTGCCACTTACCAAGGGCTTGGCGGCCGGTTGCATCAAGCAGTCAACTTGATTGTATGAACCGAGTGTGCCTATCAAATGGCACTGAACTGCAGCTGCCCTTCGTCGATGGAGCAAGGGTCGCGAGCTGAGACGTGCGGTTGGGGATGCGAGACAGCATCGCGAGTGAACCAGGTACGATTAAGTTTGTCGTGACTTGTCAAGAGCTTTGGGCCTAACCCGTCTAAACAGAGGAACGAGGCGTCTTGAGGTGTTGATCGAACGCCTGATAGTCGATGACCAAGGCGAGATATCTAAGTTTAGAGATCATTTGCTGGCATCGGTTTCCCAAGATTTAAGCGTTGGTTTAATTACGGTTAGGGTTTGGATCCCGAAATCTTGATCGGCCGTTGGTGTAAACGGCTCGCGCCGCGCTCCCCGGTGCGGGGCAACATTAAGCCATCAATGATGAATTGATGCGTGGGTGCCTGGGAGAAACCCCCTATCTCTTTAACACAGCCTGGCCTTACACAGCACTGGCGTGGTCAGTGGTGGGAGGCCCCTGCCGGACGAGCCTGGCAAATTAGGCCAGTGCCCAGATGTTAGCTACTGCCTTACTGGGCAAGACGATTGGAGCTCCAGGGGCTAGGCGCCTAAATCCAATCTATCCAAATCTTTCGACGAGTTAAATCCAGCTGGCCCGACTAATTTTCTGTCTACTCCAGTCCAGTCCGGATTGCCCACAATCCGATAACATCACTGATCTTAGTGGTATAGGCGTGGCCAAGAGGGTTTGGCCAGCGGGAAACAACCGCCAATACCCCGCACGCCATCAAGGCACTGGGCTTTAACCGATTGACAGCCACGACGACGTCCGCCCGCTTTGCAGGCAGCAACGCAAACCATTTTCCCTTCCTGGGTATCCATCCAAACTACTTCCCTTGGTGCAGCCCAGGGCCGGCAGGCCTTGACTGATTGCAAGGAATGATGGTGGCTGTGGGCATGGTTGCGAACCACCGTACGGCGCGAGAGACCAGTCAGCACATCAGGCAGCGGCGCATATCGTGCCATGGGAAGCATTGGAGGGACATGTGAAGGAGCGTTGACGAGGAGCGCAAACCAACTTCCCGTCGTCGAGTGCTCGCTGCCGGCCGACTCACCGGAAGCATATAGCATTACACACGCGTCCATCACACACAGAATAAATAGCCCGTCGATGCCAGAATATTTCTCTTCAGAAATATTGGATCAGAACTATCCTCATCATGAGGCCGTAGGTCCAGCTTCTCTGCTAGAGGGCGCACTTTGCTTGCCCATTGAGGTGCCGTTTCGAGCGGAACCTTGATTAGATCCTGGCCCTCAATCTGGGTGCCATCACGTTGCAACCCAAGCTCCAGCCTCCAATTGAAAGCAGAGACGAGGGCTTCGGCGAAGCTGGCCAGTAATGCGTACCTTGTAGGATCTGGGTCCATAGGATCAGGGATACGAGATAGCTGCCAACGTGCCTCAGCATGATAGAAGTAGTAGTCGCATTCGTAGCTCATCATGATAATGTTCTTAGAGCAGAGGTCCTCGTAGAGTCGATATAGGGAGCGAAGAGGCGTGTCTCGTACTCGAAATAGAGGTATATAATAGAGTTGGAGCATGTCCGGCCGTCGAGATGAAGGCATTTGATCTCCGGTGTTCTGGAGCTCCGTCAGAGACAGCTGCACAGGCACTTGGAAGTGCCACGGGGATGGCCAAAGAAGACGAAAGAGGAGTTTTCGGCGGCAAGAGCATCTTCGCAGCCGGTTGTAAGATGCCCGCAGTTTCAGCGGACTTTGACCCGGGAACATGGTGACCTGGGAGAGGTGTGAGGGCGTTGTGTATGGACATGGACCTACACATAGGTTTACGAGAGGTCGCTGTGTCGCGTTCTGGCGAGGAAATTGGTGGACGTCACGTGAACCGCCCGCGTCCGTGGCTGTGGCTTGACAGCTTAGTGCACCAGACAGGTGTAATGTCAACGGTAATACCTTGACCATTAACTACAGCGTAGGACTCGCCCCTAACCAGATTACTCCCTTGGCTTTAGGCGTAATGCATTTAGCAAACACTAGCTCGCTAAGCTCTCACCATTTATGGGTGATTTTATTGGTGGAGACTAATTATTCTTAAAGCTAAAATAAAGGCTACTACTAGATCTCAGCTTATTTTATCTTATATAATTACTAGTTAATACGTATTTATAACTATTATACCGTGGTTAATAATAATAATACAACGTATTACTACTATCTAATTCGCGAATAATTTTTTATAAAATTATTCGGTAAAGAAAAAATAGACCATACATATATTCATTTACTAAATACGTATACAAGATGTGGATGCCGTCTTATTTCAAGAGGCTGTGCTTAGCTATCTACCAGTTACCGTCTGAGTTGGACAATAATAACCATCAATTGCTTTAACCGGATTATCACAGGACTTGCAGAGCCATCATTTAATGCAATTAAATGCTGACCTGCACGCTGCGTGCCCCTCAATACACAATTTTCGAATAGGTTGGGCAGTACTCTATTGATTTCGTTGTTCGTCGGCATAAGGTCCACATGTAGTTGCCAAAGAGATATGACGGCAATGCTCGGTGTTGGGCACAAGGCTAGACTATATACATTCACTATGGCATCTGAATAGAACGTTCTTGGTTGCATTTCAAATTCGGTACTCATAATCGTTTATGTTTTTCCTTGATTACGCATGATGGATGCGCGACCCTTGAGGTCCCTTAGGGGGGAGAATGAGACAACAACCCGATCCACCAAAAGTTTCGGCTGTGTCACTTTAGACATTGACTCAGCGAGCGGAAGTGCGATCCTAGTCCCCGTTGCCATGTACTCTGTACGTCCATGGCTGTTTAATGTTGTGGGTCGATGGGAACAAACACAAGATGAGAGGGCTAACTTAACCCTCGGAGGACTTGCACTGGACAAGGAATTGCCCCCTTTCCCCTTGCAGGCCGTCCAGTGCTCTCTTTGTTTCCTTTTTCCGTCTTGTGGCTCGGGCTTTGGTCCAATGACCTCGTAGCTGTGGATATAGGGTGCCATTTCGTACGACAATGGCACCAGATGGCCAACGTCCGTACTTGTTTGCCTTGTGTGTGACACGGGGGAGGGTGCCGCTGAGCAACCCGGGCTTCAAATATTGATTTCCTCGGGTTTCCCTTTGTCTGGGCTGGAGGGGTTTGTCAAAAATAGCATGGGCGACGGGCCCGACAGGGACAACGCTCGCGACGCGCGACGAGGACACACGGCATTTGACGGCATTATGCCAGCACACAGGAGTCGCAGCGTCTGCAAACTCGAATGGTTGGGGGCCACGGCCGGTGACTGGGCCTTGCTGCGAATTTGTCAGTCTATTTCGGGGCGCAACCGCCAATCATTTGGGCAGGGTTTCCTCAAGACGGAACCAACTGCATCGTGCTACGTATGGCTGCAGACGTGCAGTGCTGGTTGCTACCCAAGTGCTCCCTACCCTTTACTCCGTACATGTAGTGAATATCCCGGTATCGAAGCTCGTCTAGCCATCTGACAGCTGACGGTACGCTGTCTCTGGACCGGGTCGCTTAACAGGGGTCAACAGGCATGGCCTAGATGTTGAAATTGCCTTAATTTGAAATTGTTCTACAGCCAAGTTGAGGCTGTATGACGGCGTACGGTCAGGTCAACGGTAGGAATCGCCCTGGGAGCTGGTCAGAGCTTTAGCAAAGCTGTTATACATCCGATCCCTAGCCGTTGTGCGGCCGTGGTGATTATAATAATGGTCCCCCCGCAGTCTCCCCGGCGAGGTAGACACTCGTACGTACTTTTTCCTCGACAACAATATTGTTCGTCTCGTGTAAATATATAGGCCGCCAACAAGTTTTCGGCGCCAATCTCTCACTTTCGTGTCCCGTGTTTTGCGACATTCCCGTCACTCAACGGCACGAGATTTGTCACAAGGGCGCGCATATCTAACCCTAATAAGCAGGCGTAGAACCTCCAGGATGGACAGCCAGTAAGTGAGAATAGCTTACATCTCAGTCACAAGACTATTAGGTCAAACATTTCTAATTGCAGGGCATTGTCTATCCTTAGGGGGCTGCCTTCCCCTCTCCTAGAGGCCGAGTGTCGGGAACAGGCCAATAACAGGAAGGAGTGTTATGCTCATATTCAACGCCTTTATAAAGCACGTCAACCCAGGGAATCGTTTGAGTCTCCAATGGCGACCTTTAATAGTAAGCTACAGCAAATCACAGAAGAAATTACAGCTGTTCGCGGCAAGCTCCAAGTTCCCAGGGCCAATCGGAATGGTCGGGACGACCAAGATACACCTGACTATGAGACACAAAAACTTGTCAAGCAGCTAGCCGAGCTGGTCTCGCAACAACGTGCCCTGTTTCAAGGCTATAACCAAGTTGTCCAGAAAGAGGAAGAATACGCAGCAGGGCTGGAGAGAGAGAGGCAACAGGGCTATGCCGAAGTCGCACAGCTTGAGAAGATTGTGGCCAATTTGCGGGCAAAGCTACCCCAGGCCGGAGCGAGCTCATCGCCTGATGTCCTTACAATGGACGCCTCTGCAGCTAATCAGGCCTCTGTTAGCAATAGCACTGGCCATGTCGGGCATGAGGAGCAGTCTTCCGGTATGTCAGACAACGCGAATGTGCCGGCAGCAGAAACCCCCCGACGCCACGGACGCCGTGGAAGTTCCATTGTTGTTGACACCAGCAGTATTAGAGCGCATGAAGAAAGGCCAAAGGACCTGGCATCGGAACGACGGGAGAGAAAGCGCAAACATAGAGTGAGCCAGGCGGCCTCGGGAGACAAGGTGGCAAAAAGGAGAAATACGGCAAACGCCAGACTGCTGGACGTGGACAGACCATTCACGGCGACCTTGGCCTCGAACTGGACAGAGGATCCGTGGATCAGCGACAATGGCACCGTCGATTTCCGCAACTTATATCACAATGGTGAAGTGGTGTCATACTGCATGGTCCTCGAGTATCCACCCGAGAGCGACCGATTTTACATCTTCTACTGTCAAATTCACGACCAATTCATGAAAAACATTCCTCTCAACGGGGCAAGACGACACTTGAGGAGACACGAGATGTATGAGTCCGAGCCAGATGAAGTCATGGTTGAAATGTTTGGCGTCCGGGTCCTGAACTGCACCCAGGATCTAGCCAAGGAGTACAACGATGCCATCTACCCGCATTTCAAGGCAAAAACATGGCGCTCCAGGCAAAAGAAGAAGGCGGCAGCGAGAGGGACAAATCAATCCAACGGTTATGATGATGCTGTCAACAATGCATATAGCACACCGACGAGAGCGCCTCTTCGGTCGCTGATTCCCCCAGCCAGGCGATCATCTCGTCAGTGCGTATCAAGCCATACCCTCGGGACGAGACACTGGGAGACTTTGATTACAAATCCCAAAGTGGGCGGGATATACTGCCTGACCTGGCACAGAGATGACAGAAATTATGCCGTGATTGTACTGCCGATTGGGTCCTTCGAGCCGGTCGGAATTCCGGGCAGTATCCTGGCGACAAATCTACTGGAAGAGGGACGGCGAAAATCCCATGCCACTGATCCCTCGACTGGGGACTATATTTGGAGCCCGGGGTACGAAGACGGTGGGAAACGAGAAGACGAAAGAGAGTTCCCCGTCATCTATTTCGACAACTCTCTGTTCCCACAGAACGCCAGCTATGGGTGGGCGATGGCCGCCGACCTGCAGGCGTTTGATTCCGAAGACGCGAGTATTCCCTATCTCAAGACCGTGACCGAGTTTCTCAAAGACAGAAAGGACCGTGGCCAGGCCAACGGCTCGGAAGATGATGGTGCGTGCCTTGTTCGTACTCCCACCAAAGAGAAGACGCATTAACCGTATAGACAGCGACGAGAGCCGATAGTCAAACCGAAACGCCGGTCGACTCGACACCCAGCGTGCCAGCCGTGCGAGATGAAAACCATCCCATTCCCCAAATCGACGCATACTTTAATGCCGCTCCGCGTTCCGAGTCTGGCAGCGATTTAGACGACGACGGCTACAGCACAGACGAGTGGTCCCTCGACCCTAGCGATGACGAGAAAGATGCCTCCACGGAGACCAACATCGCGAGCTGCCAGGATCGGCACAAGCCCCCGGTGGCCAGGATGGGCACAGGCACCTGCGAGGAGGATTCGTGGGATTTGCCAGGCGACACGATAGTCGACGGCCGTGCAAACGAGCCGAGCCAAACACGTTCTTCCACGCAGCGGGCTGGACTAGCACGACTAGCATTAGCCTACGGCGAAGGCGCCGCGGAACAGCAATCCCCCTCGTTGTCGTCGAAGAGCCAGGCGCCGCCGGACACATCAGCAGCAGCAGCAGCAGCCGAGTCTCGGCCGTCCTGCGCAAACACCACGACGGCAATCTTCACGCCGAAGCAGCCGGAAGCTCTGGCCCTTTTGACCGGGGGGCAGGACGTTGGGCGCAAGCCCGAAGGCAGTAGTAGTAGTACGCATCTGAGACACAGTTTTGGGCGGATCCGCGAGACGTGGCCGGGCTTGGTGCTTCGGCCGGAAGTCCGGACGCCGTCTTCGCCGACGTATACGGCTCAGCAGCGCATTACGATCGATAATCTCATGCACACTGCGGGGATGCCGAAAGCGCCACTGCACACGAGATGAGATGAGATGAGATGAGATGAGTCGATCACGTAGCTGGGTTACTTGCTACGAGATTGTGAAGCTAAGATTAGACCGCGTAGCGGTATTGTGTGGGATACGGGATGATCACGGGAGGTAACATGCATTCGGGGAGTTGGAGAGGCGGGACTTGGCTAGGAACAGCGGCCCTTTGAGCGTTTAGACTTTGTAGATTTGCCATGTCTTTACTTTCTTTCTGCTTCTCGGGGGATCTTTAAACTGTACTTGATGATAGACATTTACGTCGTTGGTTTTTCTGTGGCATGCTCATGTCGACCTGTTGACTAACGGAACGCCTCGGGCATGCTTTATACTTGAGTGCCCTTGCAACAAGGCCAATTGTTCCTGGGGCGCGAGACTCTTAAACTCTCCGAGGCCCTGTGGCTTGTGTTGTGACAGTGCTAGGGTTATGGCTAATCCGACCGAAGACTCGGCCGTGCACAATATTCGACCATGGCCGGTCTGATGCGTAAACCGGCCACATGCATGCCGTCCGCACTTGAATCGGTCGGGGGCTGCTCCTTCAAGACCCGTATAGACCAGAACGACAAGTCCGTCTCAGACCCGGAAATCACTGTAGTCGACGTCGGATGCGGAGCTCAGTCGTGCGAGTAGAGTGAGGAAATTGTCACATTGCTCCAAGCGTCCGGCACGGCGTCGGCATCGGCCGCAGAGTTAATACTGGCAAAGCAGTCAGATGGGCTACTTGCCAATCTCATGCCAGTCGTCAGCCGCAGTGTACCCCTAACTCTGGCATCTCTGTCCAAAGAAGCTGGCCGGCTTTTCTGAGCTACTCTCCCGTTTCGGGGTTGTGTTACACGGAAAAGGCCAAACAGATTGTGAAACCTAATAAAGGGGCTCCATCGATAAAGGACTGATTGGTTACATAGATCAAACATATACCGGCGCAAGAGGCCTAAGCACATGCGTTCCCTTCTTGTATATATAATAGTTACTGCTCCCTTTTTTCTTCTTAAAAAACCAAGGACCTCTAACACTCTTTAATATTATCTTTAAATTTAAACCCTTTATGTTCTGAGCCCTGTTAAGCCCTCATCACAGTTTGTGCTCGACGTCACGCCGGATACCTGGCGATCCTGTCGGGCCTACTGGATTCAGGGCAAAATGGGCGCAGGGGAGCGAGACATCTCCGTGGGAAAGTCGCATGAGTGTCCGGTTACAAGTTATTGGAGGCAAGCCCGCACACAGCCTACGCTGTTGCACGGAAATGGCCCAGCTTCGAGGCCCCCTTGTTGGGCCTCACCGACAGAGAACTTGGAGGTTACACAGAAACACATGACTGGGCAAGAGCCCTAGACATAGATGTCTTCATGTATATGATAGTCACTGATCCCTTCTTTCCTCTTGAAAAACCAGGATCTTGGACACCCTTTGAGATAATCTTTGAAATAGAGTCTTTTGCTCCAAGGCTTCTATTTAAACCTTGTCACATGCGCCGATTAAGATCTCTTACGTGATACTGGCTACTGCAAGCCATTTATTGTTTTGTATTTGGTATTTTAGTAGAATGTATAGGTTCTACAAGTATTTGATTTGGCAATGGATGTGGCGAGTCACGTTATAAGACTTATGGTTCGCTATGCTTTATAAAGTCTTTACGACTGTTGTCCCCTCTTGTAAACTATAGAAGCTCAAGATATGTAGTACTTTTGGAACACTGCTGCGTCAAGGTAGTTGTGACAAGGGCTCAATAGAGGGTTTGGAGCAGGGTGGCGATCAACTCAA